GGTTGCTTTGATAGGGAAGGTTGACGGATAAAAATACACTCCTTCGGAAGCAATCCCTTCTCGACTCTTGATAAATTCACTTTCAAACTTTATCCATTTCGAGCTTACTCAAGAATTCTGAACGCACGTTATTACTTACTTTCGTTTGACATGACTAATCAATTGTTCGGAACGCAAGCGCATTTACGTACCGAGCTATCCTCTGAGTGGAAGGTAGCTCGCTGCGATCAGTGATCAAAAGCACGCATCTGGTCGATGTTCCTCGCGTAACCTCGCGTATGACGTTTCGTTATATGACAAAGCCGCAGGGTTATAAAGTGCTCGTAAAAATATACGATAATCATAATAAAAATGTATCGAAATGAAAATTACGAAACCGATATAAAATATACTATACAATTAAATCGCGTCATTTTCAGTCTATTGGGCATCTGGCCGGAGACAGAGCCCACCTTTCTAAAATATCTCAAGGAACTTTCGCTGATATTAGGCTGCTACTTTATTCTCGCTTTCGAGCTAATTCCGACAATCTTGTTCGTAGTGTTCGTAGAAAAACGACTCGTCGTCAGAATGAAACTTGTATCGTCTATAATGTTCACGATACTTGCAGTCCTCAAGTATAGCAGCCTGGTACTCAGCAAGAACCAAGTAAGAAATTGTCTGACGCGAGTGAAGGACGATTGGCAAAATGTCTCCAGCATGAGCGAGCGCAATTCCATGATTGACAAAGCCAGGACTGCGAGACGTTTGCTCATTCTGTGCGGTATATTCATGTACACCTCTGGCTTGTATTTTCGTACGGTCGTGCCGTTAAGCAGAGGAAAGTCCGTCACCGATCAGAACGTCACGATCAGGCACTTGCCGTGCCCGAGTTATTTCATTCTGTTCAACGGGCAAATCAGTCCCGCTTACGAAATCGTGTTCTTTATACAGTTCCTCGCCGGAATGATTAAGTACACCATCACAGTGGCGATCTGCAGTCTCGCCGCTCTGCTCGTCATGCATATATGCGGGCAGCTGGAGATCCTGATGGCATTAACAGACAACATGGTAAACGAAATGGAGGAGAAACAATTGGACAGAAAGCTAACCTTGATCGTAGAACATCAGATCAGAATGCGGAAGTAAGTCTTGCACGGTGATATTTTTATATTTATGTCCATTTATTTTTATTACTTGTATCAAGATGAGCATCTGCGAAATTGATCGAATTTTCCATGAAGGTGGTATGTACGTCACGTTAATGCGCTGCCTTTTTTGTATTATTATTATGTTCTTCTTTTACTGTGGCAGGTAGAGATTTTTTAACGATTGTGCGCGTCCCTTTATAGTTTCTTAAAATTGGCGCAGAGCACTTTGGAGCATACGAGCTTGATGGAAGTATTGGGATGTACGATAATTTTATGTTTCTTAGGACACGATATTATCATGGTGCGCCTAAATAATTATGTAGTGATAATAGCTGGCACAGTTTTACGTCTAAATGTCTATGTTATTTTATTACGAGTAAAGCATACGCGATTTTGCATACACGCACAGGCTTAATAAATATAACTGTCAATCCTACAGGAGTGGAAAAATCAAAATGTTATATCTTTGTTCTCCTCTGTTACTCTACTTACGTCAATTGGGTTCAACCTTTATATATTTTGTTTTATCGGTGAACAACTTTCTGTAGAGGTATTGTATCATAAATTTATTGTCGATAAAATGCTTATAACGTGTTTAATAAGTCAGTAGGATATAGAATGTCAGATATTTTTCTTTCCAATTTTTAATTTATGCTACTAAATAACTTGTTAATGAAACTAGGGAGAGAGATTAGCATTAACAGTGTGTACGTTGGATTGGTATCGTCTTCCGAATGCAAAAGCACGATCATTGGTTTTAGTCATAGCCATGTCGATTGTCCCGACGAAAATTAGAGCCGGGAAGTTCTTCGATCTTACTATCAGAACTTTCGGAGATGTAAGTAATGGGTTTATTGATAAAGACTGATTAACGAAGATGCATATTATACTCTAGATCGTTAAGACGATTGTGACGTATGTTAATTTTATTCGGAAAATGATGGACTAGTAATTCGACGCCCTGCACTAAAATATCTTACTGCTACTTTCTAGCAGGCGTGGAGATGTAGCGTCGTTCGGTAGAAATATTAATAAAAGAATAGAAATATTAAATTAAAAAATATTGTATAACGCAAATTTTCTCTCAACACTTACCATAGAAAAAATGAGATATTTTGCGAAATATAAAACTCCTCAAATATATTTCTTTCATAAAATAATGCATTATATCATTTGCATATGTTTGATTTTTATTTCTGACTTTCTGCTTGCGTCCAAAAAACACCTGAACATGTGTAAAAGTCTTAATCCTTGAAGAAGAAACAATTAATATGTTTAAGACAGCGAGATTGACAATATGTTAGACGCCTCTTATAATTTCTGTTTGATATTGCAGTTCATGCAATCATTTATATTCCTCGTTTGATTTACCGTATCTCTTGCTTCATCTTCCATAGCAAAATATTTTATTTATAATTAACTCAAAGAGCGATTTGCGTTACATAAAAAAATCAATGCAATAGATGCGGATTTTTTATTTTCTCCTGTTTTCTAAAGTCGCTAGACTTCCCGTCGCGGTGCTCCCTTCCTCGAATATTTCCAACAACTTTTATGACTTTCCCGTGATTTATGAAAGGGGAAAATAGATTGCGAGTAACAATCGCTACATCAATCCCTCACTTCTTCCATTCTTGTTGAAGACGCAAGCGCAACGTTACTTTACGCTTTATTCGGTACGTCTGACTAGTTCTTCGTCGGCGACATCAAGATCAAGTAAAACCTCAAGTCATCGCTAGAATATTCTCCACTGCTAAAGCACGCGATGTTGAGCTGCCGAAACAATCGAATCGAGGATTGCATCAAGCACATCGAGAAAAACTGGAGCAAAATGAGCTTGATAAAAACTCGCAGGACAATGATGGTCAGCACGAGGATCGGACACAACCGCGCAATCCTCTGCATGGCCGCCATGGCTTTCGTGTACGACAGCAGATACTTGTATCGCACGACCGTGCAATATGCACGCGTGGAGCGCGTACGTATGTATTTGTGTGTTTTCTATATCTCACAATAAACAATAATATTATTTAAAAAATAAATACTATCTACAAAATTATCTTTTCGAAAAAAATAAAAAATGACGTCAAATGCACGCGCCTCTCGCTATGTCAAACATTTGTACAAAAGATTTAATATCAAAAACTGACACCATTGACTTATAGTTGTCAATGAAATCTAATGTCACAACATTTTATACCTTTACACACTGTGATTAGATCCTTTTATCATGTGTATAAAAAAGCTGATAAAAAAACTGATGTCAATTAGAGTCTGTAAAATTTAAATTACTATAATATGAAAGTTATAATATCGTAAAAAAAATCTTACAAAAATTGTATAATATCAAAACCTGACACCAATTTATAGATTTAATAAGATTTATTTCTTTTAGTTATCACTCATATTTGACAAGCATTTTTTCTCTCAAACTCTATCGCTGTAGTCTCTGTTCTCCACGGAACGTTTAAATTCTTAACGCGTTTAAACGCAGGGGAGCTTTAGTTGTGAGTTCATCCCGCGATCAACTCCTATGTCTTCGAGCATCAATCATGATTCACGACGCAAGTTAAAACATTAATGTCCATTTCCACCAATGCAGATTAACTTTAATCTAGGTTTAAATTATTTTTTATTTTTTTCTAACTCTTAGAACTAGAAAAAGATAAAAAATAAATTATACCAAGATTAAAGTTAATTTGCATTTGGCAGAAATGGACATAAGTACAGATTAAAAATATATTTTAGATTATGATAACAGCTGGATATATTTTAATATGCACTAAAATATAATTTAATAATTTAATTAATATTTGAAGTTAATTTATCAAAATTTTAATCATATATATATGTAACAGTAAAATTGCATATTGTGAAACAATAATACATAATATGTATCAAATATAGATAAGTGAGATGTAAATATATGTAGTAAATAAATTTGATCATTTTATTATTCTGCATCACGCGGAAGTTATTTTTTCTGGCAAATACAATATTGTGATTAAAACAATATTAAGCCGAGACAGAAAGAAACGTTAGATACTATAAATTTCTTGATTGCTATGTGAGGGAAAATAAATAAAAATACACTTTATCAGAAGCAATTCCCTCCTGACTCTTGATGATTTCACTTTTAAGCTTTATCCATTTCGCGAGCTTACATAAAAATTTCAAATGTTACTACTTATTCGTTTGATATAACTAGTCAAATTAGTCTAAAATCCGCTAGAACAGGGAAATGAGCCTGGTTACGATCTGTGGAGTCTTTATGTACAATGGCGCCTTTACCTTCCAAACAATTCTGCCATTGTCCCAGAGAAAGATTTTCACCGATCAGAATGTCACGATGAAACATTTCACCTGTCCTGGTTACTTCTTTCTATCAGCCCCATTTTCGGAGACGCTTTTTGTAATCCAGTGTCTAACAGAATTTATTACAGTTTTGGTCGTGACAGGTGCATGCGGTCTCACAACGATTTTCGTGATGATGCCAATTAAAAATTTTTATGGACTTGATGAGAGGTTTCGTGCAGAAACAGTTGCAAGAAAAACGTGAAGTGGATAAGAAATTAACTGAAATAGTCGAGCATCAAGTAAGTAAGTTCGCAACTTGCAAATGTTATTCGTGCTTATAGTTAACGCTCAAACTAATCAACATATGTTTATAATAATGCATATTAACAATGCTGCACGGTAAAAACTATTAACTTTCTATTTGCTCATATTATTGACATTTATTTTTTTTTATCTATTAATCCAAGTAAAGTCAATTGTTGTCATCAGTAATTGCATTTCAGTTTTTTATGATTAGTGCAGCCTATCTTACTGCAAAAAATATAGCTGATGAAAATTTTGGTAAACACGATAACTGCCTTTTAGTATATTTTATGTTCGTAATTCGTAACTAGGTAAATTAATTTTAGTGTTGAATAAATTAAATATTTAATTTTACCTCGAAAATTTTATAAGAGTCACTATTGTACGATAAAATAAGCTTTATACTTAAATATCTTTATAAATATGTTATGAAAGAAACACAAGAAACATATTGCAGTATTCTTATATAATAAATAAATATTAGATATTCTAATAAATAAAAATTTAGTGATGTATATGTTCATCATATCATATTGTGTGAATCAATTGCATACATGAACCAAATATAAAATCTTAAGGCAATATAAATTTCATATAAATATTTATATTTATATAAATATAAATATGTATATTTAATTATATTTTATTGAACATTTATATTAAACATTTAATTATATTTTATTAAATATTGTATTTTACTCGTGCTATTTACTGCCTACATTAACACATGCTTTTATTAAAAATAAATAGCATAAAATTATTAATTCATACTATTTGATATAAACAAATCGGAACATTCGACATATAAATAAATCTGTTGCTTCTTGACTGGCACTGTACTGCAAACTGCTATCGCATGTTACAATGTAGGAAGACTTAAAGGTAAATA